CTTATGAATTTGTCGTTATTAAATACTAGTTTATCTACACATAATTTACATGTGTCAATTTTTTTTTTTTTTTTTTTTTTTTTTTTATATATATATATATGCGAGTGTGCGTTTGTGTGTGCGGGCGTGTGTTTGTTTGTGGGTCTGTTTGTGCGTGCGTACGTGTGCGTGCTTGTGTCTATACATATGATACAAAATATACATATTATATACAATACTTAGAAGGAATTTTAAGTAAATATAGTATTTTTTATTTTTAAATTTTTAAATGCAGTGTACAAAATTGAAATAATTATTTTTTTAATGAATAAATAAATATTGCATATAGGAAATTTTCATGAAAATTCATTATTGCGGTGCGGTAAAATACAATTTAAAAAAAAATTTTTTAAATTCTATCATTCGCCATGTACAATAAATTATTACTGAACAATACCGAACCTCTACAAGGAATTAATAGAAACGTATAAACGTTGCCTATATCAATAATTTAATAAAACGTATATATTGGCAATAATATTAGCAAAAATTGTTACGAGTAATACTGATTAAATATGATCTGTTATAAATTATCTATTGCATTTCATTTAATCTTTTAATAAATGTATATATATATATATATATATATATATGCGTATAATGAAAAGTTGTATTATGTATTCACATATTATGTAGAACATTGATTACCGCTAACTTAATATTTACATCGACAAATCTTTCAATATACAAATATAATATGATAATGGTGTATTACCGCTTTATTCTTGTTTATATAATTATTAAGTACTCATGTATTATAGATATTCTATTGACTTCTTCATTATGTGAATATTTATTATAAACACAAAAATAACTGCATCATGTAATCAATACATTTTACAACACTTTGTATTATCTTTTTATTAAGAGTTGTAATTGAAGTCAGCAACTGACTTCACATTTTAATGAATAAGCCGATTTCTTTATCTGATTAATAAATCGAGTATTAGTAAATCCGATGATTAGAAGCAGAATACTGTTTCTAATTTAAAAAAAAAAAAAAAAAAAAAAAAAAGTTGCCTAGGTAATAGATTTTATGAATTTCAATTAACTGTAATGCGTTTTCACACGTATTCACATACATGGCAAATAAAATTCATACATTAGTCATTTATATTTATATTAGGATGAATAATTGTTTTACTAAATTTATTAATTTATAAATATGGTTAAATATAATTCAAAATTTTAAAAATTATTCATTTGTCGTGGTATTTAAGTACATCAAAAATATAAATTAAATTAATAAATTAAAGAAACTTAAAAATGCATCAATGTCAGTTAATATACAATCGTTGAAGTTTATTGTCATATTATATTATTGACCCGACATTTTCTAAATATCTCTTCATAACTTTGTTTGTAAAATTAATTTTCTTATGATCTATTTCTGTTAAACATCATACAATTTCATCATTTAAACATAAAAAATTGATATCTTTATACATTGTTGTCTTGTTCTCTGTTCTTATAGAATAACTTCCCAACTTTTGCATTTTTTGTATGATTATTTCATAATTACCCGTTTTAATGGTTAAATCTTTTATGTTTTCCTCAAATTATGTTGCAATAATAATGAAATACTTATTTTCCGAAATATGTTTTGAATTGTTTGAAAATCTTTATTCCAAGATAATTTTGATATGATGAGTGATTACAATAATTATTATCTTATAGTCTGTCTTGTAAATTTCTTCTTTACATTTTTAGAAATTACAATTTTATATATTATATTATAGTTACTTTGATTACTAAAAATATTATCATTCAAATTTAACAAACATTTTCTTTACAGCATTTTCTTTCTTCTTAATTACAGATAATTAAATAAAAAAGAATTGAATTTATATTGTTTAAGACTGAATATTATGCTTTGTTGTGTAGGTATATATGACACAAATAAAATTAGTAATTGATCCCTCAATTAGTTTGTCACAGGTTAGAATATTTCATATTTCAGTTTTCTCTTGTACTTGTGTAACGATTCATCCGCCCATAACTGTTGAGATAAGAGATATCTGCATTACTTTCATTGTTCGTTAATTCCGACGACATTCGATCGAACGACGATTTTTAACGAAAAAAATGTGATAAAATTGAGGTCGAGTTAACAGAGTATAAATTCACTTTAATAAACAATATATATATATATATATATATATATATATATATATATATATATATACACAACATCTATAAGAATTGAATGAAAATTTTTTTCCTTTTTAAGTCTTATTTTATTTCTCTGATATAATATTTAATTAGCTCTTAGCTCCAAATTGATTATTATCGCAAACTACAAACCCAGCCTTGGTTTCCAAAATCAATTCAGAAATGAATTATCCAACATGAGTAGGTGTAAATTAAATTAATATGAATATAAATTAATATAAGTATATTCACTCGTTTACTAAAGTCGTAATATTTAATCGGAATTTGAAATGAGAATATAATGGGGCATACGGAAGTAGGGTATGGGAGTACAGTGAACTGCGTGGACCCGCGGATCGTTCCAGACAATCCAAAAGATATCAATATCGAAATACGATTAATCTCGAGGATGGTTTCGAGTTCACTGGAATATCCAAAGGGTCACATGGTCGAAGAAGGTTCACTTCAATTTATCGCTTGTAGTACAACTTATTTGCACTGTTTTGACGTGGCTTTGGACTGCGCGAGTTGCCGCCTTGCCTTAAGCGTGTTCTACAATTCCACCAACACATTTGCAATAGTACCATGGCATCACTTTGCAAGCACTTATAGTGAGTATAAGTGAAGCTCCCGCTACTCCATATCATACTCGATATCATTTTGTCTAATTGAATTCTTCACGTTTCTTCACGTCCTGTAAAGTTTATATTTTGTCTATTTCTACTCATACTCAGAATTAGAAGAAAAAAAAATCAGATAAATTATGTGTATGTGCTAGACAAATACGCTACAAAAGTAAGAAGGACTCGATAAAAGTTCATGAATTAAACTCGCTGGTCTTCGTGCAGTGTGTCCAAACATAATAAAACCTACGAAAAAGAATGTATTTCTCATTAAATCCGATTAACAATCAGGCACGTTTAATACCACAAATGAAGAAATTTGCATAAGACGATCGAACATTTATCGTCTGTTACTCTCATAGTTATTAGCGCAAAACTACTCTTACAGGTTGTGTAGATAAAATAATTCGACTGGGAAAATTTAGTGTTGATGCAATTCAATACCTTAGGATTCACATTAATAGTACTTAGGGAATTTTTTAATAAATATCATACTATTCTGATCAGACACATATATTAATTCAGTTAACTGTCCCTCTTATATTACGAGTAAAGTGAAATTGATGTTTATAAATATTTATTTATATTGGCTTATAAATTATAAGTCTGACATTACTTTATTATGAACGGTAATTGTTGCATTTTTTTTATGAAACACATCGATTTGCCTGGATACCTGCTGTTTATAATTTTCTAAATTATAATAAAAAAAAATGTCATTAATAATGACTGCTTTTACTAATCACATTGATTAATTTTCATATTCGCACAAAAAAGAAAAAAAAGAAAAAAAATAAAAAAAAAGGTTTTCTTTTAAATAATAAGAGCATCGATAATAGACATTTTTCTATATTTATAATAATTCCCATAATTATAATAATGGAAGGGCTTATTTTATTATTATATGAATAGTGAGATGAATCGAGCGACTAATTCAAATGTAATTTAACTTCATAGTTACCTAAATAATTACTTTCATAATTGTCATTGTATTTTTGTATTCAAATGAAATACGAATGAAAAATAAATATTTATAAAGACGTGCGACATGCTGCAAATCCATTACCATAGGTAAAGTAAGGAGGCTAAATAACAAAATGTCAGTAATAATTGAAAGATAAAATGTAGAATCAAAATAAAATAAAAAATATTTAAAATATTTGAATGAACAAAAAAAAAAAAAAAAAAAAAAAGCACAATATCAATATATTTTCAAAGTATTTCATCTACTAACTGTTTAATGAATTTAATACGAATGAATTTTATATCGAATTTCAGCTATGGCAACCATGACACAAAAGCTTCTTCTCCCCCCCCCCCCTATTGATTTAGACTTTTGCTAAAGTCTACTACTTTACTGAAGTTTGTAAACAATTGTGGTGCTGGAGGAAAAATTCAATACATTTAAAAGATGTTCTTCGTAAAATATATACACTACTGCGTATATATCTTTATTACACATCTGTGCGATTGTCTACACAGTGCAACCAATAATTTATATTTACATTAGCTTAGAAAATTAATTATCAAATATAGCTATTAAACATATGAGTGACAAAAATTATTGTGCTTGAGGATTTGTAAATCAATGATAATAAAAGTGTCTTACCTGAAAAAAAAAAAATACAATATTCTAGTGGGCACAGCAACTCCTTGATAAACAGAGCCTTACCGCCTTTAGCAATAAACAGAGTCGTTATCAGTGAAAGGAGAAAATTGTACGAATTGAAGCAGCTTTATTCACAAAAGGCTGTATTAAGTAATATTATCTTAAATGAATGGACGCGATGTATAAACAATAAATTTATTAACAGAAAGAAAGGGAATTAACGATATGTTCAACAGCAATGACCAATATACAGAACAAAGCTGAATGAAATTTCGCTTGTCGATTTAACGTTATGCACAACAATAGACACATTTCTTAACAACATGCAAAACAAGGTTCGGTTATTAAATAAATGCAAGAGCTCGATAAGCTCTCCAAGGCCTTAACAATGAGATTTCCTTTTATTTGTACAAACATCGATAATAATCGTCTCTTCTGCGTACATCTTCATTTGAATAAAAGAGCTAGTAAGAATTAAAATCGCCTTAGCACCTAATCCCGTGCCTCGCGCAAGTTCCTTACCCTCCTCCTCCTCCTCCTCCTCCTCATCCCCCCTTCCCCAAACCGCACTTCCCAATCCCGCCCAGCTCGCTCGACATCGCACTCAATTATATACAACTCTCCTGAACCCTGAGGCTCCTCGTGTAGATGTCGTGAGTCCGGTGCACCGGCAATGTGCTGGGCCTCGTTGGACTGCACGCCTGTATCTTGTCCACCTGCGATCGACCGTTGTCGACGAGCTGGTAGCCACCGTTCTGACGCAGCCAGCTGTCCTTTTCCAGCGGGTGCAGTAGCTGTTGGTGTCGCGTCGACACCCCGGCCAATTGGTGGTGGCGGCCCAAGTCGTCGGCGCCTCGAATCTGGCGCTGCGAGTCTTTCATGCGCTCGGGCTTCGGCACGTAATTTGGCTCGAAAACGTTGAGCCGCCTCTCGGCTTTATTCGGTGGTATGACATCCGGATCCTCGTCGTTTTGCCCGGTGGGTGCGCGAGGATTTTCCGGCAGCATCGACGCGACTATCGCCGTCCCTGCCTGAAGATTCTTCGGCGCATCGATTCGCCGCTGCTCGTACTCTTGACCCGCGGCTGCCTGTGAAGTGAGCGATACACAAAATTTTCCCCTTCAATCGTTCGATTGCTTTGAAAAATAAAGTTACTTTGAAAAATCGCTACAAAATACTGCCGCATCGCTAAGTAATTTTTATCGAATTGGATATTGTGGGAATGCAATGGAAATGCCTCGTTATATCGTTATTTTGTCCCAGAAATTATTTCCTTCGTATTTACGTGCGTTTATAAAGCGAAACCTCGATTGATTATCTACAATGTATTTAGTGCAGTTAAAGCGTTTAAAATTATCGAACCGTTAGCTTAATGAGAGTGTAAAGCTCTCGGAAATGTTGGAAATGAAATATTTGTTGAGTCGTATCACTTGGCGTTTTAAGGCAAGACTGTGCGATTCGTTATCTCACCTATTACGAAAGCAATTTTCATTTAAAATTAAAAAAGGTATCGCTTCGTCGTCACTTCCTAATGATAAATCAGTGAGAAATTTCGAGAAAATGCTTGTGCCGTTCGGAACAATACCAAAGTACTAACAGAGGCAATCAAGTGGCAAATATATAGCATTTTCGTAAGCATTTTCGTAAGCAATCGGACCTTCGAAGGAGAATTCTTTGATTTACGTGTAAAATGAAAGTTTTCGAGCATTCGAATAAATTAAGACTCATATTACAGACACATATTATTTGAAAAACGTATTATAAATTAAATTGTATTATTATTAAAATATAGCTTGAAATTTGGATAGTGAATTCAAAGAAATTAAATTCAAATAATTGAATACAAAGAGTTATTTCTATTAAATTTTATTCGGCTAGAGTAACCCATACACTTTATTCATTCAAACTAATTTAAATTACTTCGATCGCCAAGTAACGCTTAATTTATTAACTAATACGTCTCGCGCGCATTCCGAGATTATTATTCAACGCCAAGCAGTGTCGACTCACCGGATACTCTGTCAACTGCGTCTGCGCCTGGTGGTGGTGATGATGATGATGGTAATGATGGTGCTCCTGCTGCTGCTGCTGCTGCTGCTGCTGCTGCTGCGTTCGTTGCCGATCCTCGTGTCTAACCGTAGCCGAGGCTGAACGATCGTCGGCTCCGGTGCCGACGTAGTGCACGACCTGCGTTTGCATCTTGCTCGGCTGGAGTGGATGACTACGGCGATACAAGGTCAACGTCACACCCACGATGAGGATGCAGATGGCGGTTATGCCACCAGCGAAGCAGGCCACCAGGAGGCTATAGTCCATTGCATCCTCGCTCGAGTCGCGACCTGAGAAGTAACACCCAAAATATGCATGCGAATCGTTTTTACGTTAGTGTATTGATAAAGAGCTCGCACTGACTGACTAACAATTACAGTGTTTGAGGTTGAAGGTGGTAATTTTGGAGAGGGGGGGGAAGATTAAAACGACGTGCGTAATGGCGTAGCCCCCACTCCTTACAAGACTACATTTCGTCAATTTAGTCTGCAATTTTTAAGAGGTATCTGGCTGATTTGAATCATCGCAAATGATTCGAATGTTTTAATACGTTATATAGAAGGCAAATGAAAACGTGTTGTAAATACCCGTCATTACCACTTATCCCTTATTTATCAACATTATGATATTTGGCCGCTTGGTATTTTAGAAAAGTAATTGATAATGCAATTACATAAAAACCATTATTAGTCTGACTGTGTATTAATGAGATTAAATTCACCTCGTGTATGAAATTATTCTTAAATATTAATAGTTAATCGATATTCAATATCTATATACCTATGGCTACTGGAAACCTTGGAACGAAAGTTCTTTATCATGGATAAAGTATACGAAAAATCTCAAATATCATTATAAATACGAGACTGAATAACTACCATAAACAAAAGAGTATTATATTCGACTAAAAAATCATAAGAGAGAGACGTGACTATTCGTGCTTGAGAATATTGGTATATCCCCGCGCAGATACATATGAACTTTCGATAAATAAAGTGATACACTCGCTCGTATATATGTGTGCACAAATATAAAAATGTGGTCATAATAAGCAAAAGATATATAATAAGAAGTAAAAATAATATTACTATAAAACTGACACAATGATAAAGACTTAAGTCTATCTAACTCTGTCCAACTATTCTTTCCTGCGCGCGCTTAAATAATAGAACTAAAAATAAGTATTAAATTAAATTATTACTTCGGACACTTTTCTAATGGTAAGTCACGTAAAATTTAAGAAAGATTTATACCCTTTAAAAAAAAAAAAAAAAAAAAAAAAAAATTTAAATATAAAGCCGTATAACAAAAATTAATAATGTTTCATGAAAACGATTATAATTTTGTGCTATTATTTTCCCAATTTTATAAAAGTATATAATACTGAGAAATTTTATTTTGAGAAATGAATGAAATGTTTCCTTGTGAAAATATATAAAAAATATATTTGCCTCTTATAGAACAAATGAATAATACACGAATAATAATAACAAGTTTTAGTGGATTAATGATCGGTGCCGTAATTTATATAAGTTTCATTTACTTAAATACCATGTGTCTGTGTCTGTTAGTAGATAATTCGAGATAAACGGAGATGGAGTCTCCTGAAAAAGCGCGTATGTAGGAGCAATTGAAGAGCGCAAAACGTCTGAAACGTGCCTAGCGAGTAAAATTGGAATTTCCCGTTCATTTCTCTCTCTCTCTCTCTATATATATATATATATATATATATAAAGAAGAGTCTCTAAGTCTGGATGGTAAAAATTAGGAGAGAATATCTCATTGTTCTTTTACCCTTTTACTCCTTCCATTACACTATCTCCTTTCCTTTTCTCTCTATCTCACTCTCTCTCTCTCTCTATCTCACTCTCTCTCT